ATATATATATATATATATATATATATATATATATATATATATATATATATATGCAATCAATTTAATCACGCAAACATTCACGAACAAAATGTAAATCGTAATTTAAGTTAAAATAATTTTGTTCTTCTCGTATAAGTCAAAGTTAACGTAATAGATTATTAAAATATTAAACGTATCAATATATTAATAATTTCAACACGCTAAATGAGATTTATATTCAAGTTACGCAATTTGAAAGTATAAAGATTGCAAAAGATAAATAAATTCACCATAGTCCGAGTGTACATTTGTATACTTATATTTGCATTGTCATGTACAGAAATCAGATATAAAAAAATTAAATCGTCAAAAAATTTAAATAACAGTGATTTAATCAATTATACAGGAATACGCGAAAATAGGAATGAATATTTGTTAATAGTAATTCGAGTGGAACTCTTTAAGCGTGCGTGCAGCAATTTGCATATTTAATGAGGAGCGCAACTATGCACCGTTTCTCACTAATTTTAATTCCGGTGTAAAAAGATGTTAATGCGTGACATTAATATTCAACCTTAAATATTCGTGCGAGAGACTTCGAGTTTGTTGGATTTACTCTTTATATTTTTCATGCAAAGGACGAGACTTAAAAAATTCATAGTATGCAAAATTTCGCCTCGGTTTTTAATATCTCAGGTACAAAGCCGCTATGTCAATGCTTTGACACACTTGATATTCATATGTTATCTGGCGAAAAACCTCGAGTATGAATTATTCCAATACGATGGAATGAAGAGGTGCTCGAGATTTCTTCTATCCTGGCTCGTCCTTCGTCATTTAATTTGAGATAAAAGAGAATAAATAGCTAACCCACTTGCGCGAATGAACCTATCGTTTATCAACAGGCCAAAAATGAAATAATCAATGTTCGGCCGTAGCAATACGATTGAATGATTTTAATGACGGTCAAATCGACAGTAACTAATATCAGGATCAAAAGATGCATCGTTAGATGCCCACCTTGCGACAGATTTACTGATATAGATGTAATGTGATACACATAGAATGTGGCACATATAGATACAACCTGGACAACTAATGCCAATAGAACTAATTATCGATCCTGTAATGCTTTGATCCAAGATATATGTATATCTATATTCAATAAGCAAAGTCAATATATGTATGGAGATAACTTAGAGATAGAAATTTCGTATTTTACTTCTCTGTTCTTTTTTTTTTTACATTTAAAACGTGTTTTCCATTGACTGATACCAGTGAGCAATAAAAAAGCGCGCCCACGGATGTTATTACAACGCACAATCATTCTCGAAAACGTAAACATATTTTGCACGCACACGCCATTCTGTCATTCTGATAAAATGTTTTCCAACAAAAAAACTTCGAAACATTCATATCTGTTGTAATCTGATAAAAAGACCACACACACAAACACACACACACACACACACACACACACGCGCGCGCATGGTTAGTTTTGTTTAGAAAC